CCCCAAAACCCCAAAACCCCAAAACCCCAAAACCCCATTGCTACTATGAAGGAATGAAAATAATATATTTAAGAACACCAAAAAAGAGTATAAAACCCTTGGCGTATTCTAATCAAATAAATTACGCATAATCTAACTTTCTGTGAAATCTAGTACATAGTCAAGTCCTCTAAACTTGGTGGATCTATAAGCCGGAAATACTATCATAAGTATCCACTCTGCTAATATTTCTCTACTATTTTTCAAGTAAGTCTGACTTATAAACAACTAGGCTAGGACTATTGCCTCCAGAAGGGGTTTACTTCTGTATGTTTTCTTTCTAATCTTGATTTAATTTCCAGAATCAGAAATGGATCAGAAAATTATGACATAAATTTATACATTAATAAAACTTTATAGATTGTTGTGGGACTGTGAGAGGTGCATATACCCAAACCTCTTAAGGTTCTTCTTTTGCTTTTGGAGTCTCTTTCATCCTTGAAGCTCCTTTAGTGATGGATCTGGAGACCTTTGGCCACCATATACGCATTCAGGAGTATCACTGGGGACTTCAAGGCTGACATTGGAGAGAAGAGGAGATACTCTATTTGCATCGAAGGAGTTAGAGTTCAATACAATCTCATTCTCTTCAGGGATGATGGAGATAGAGATCACCGGCTGTACAGATTGAAGGTATTTCCTTACTTCGTCATTTGGAATAATGAACTTCTTGCCAGATTTTGAGATTTTTATTTTCTTTACCTTTGGATCTTTCTCTATCACTGTGGTGAATAGGATAATGTCCTCGTTAAACAACATATTTTGATCAAAATGATGGTCTTCTTGGGAGAGCTCAGAAATGTATTTTCTGTTGAGAGTTTTGAATCTCATGAATTTCTTTGATGAGCATTTTAGATTAGATTCTTTTGGGTTTAGACCCTCTTCAATTTTGTCTAATCTTTCAAGACCAAGAGTGAATTCTAGAACCTCAAGTTCCTGTCTAAGCTCTTTAATCTCATTGATTGCGGCAAGACGATTTGTTCTTTTAGAGGTAGGAGATCTTTTAGGAGGGCTAGTCATATGATTAAACTCCATTTTTGTCTTGAGCAACCCAAGTTTGCAGATAGCTATGCCTTTAAGACACTTGGCATTTTCATATTGAACAATAGCACTTTTGAAATTATTTTCTACCTCTTCTTTATCAGCTTTAGAGTTCATTAAAGCTATTAGTCCTTGAAACTGATATAAATGCCCTCTAGCTTTGTAGCTAAGATTTTCTTTCTTACTATATTCCTTGATAGCTTTTCGACAATCAGAGAGCTTACAGAGTCTGATTCCGATAGAGACATAATACATGACAAGCATTTCTTCATGAGAAAAGACACTCAAACCTTCTAAAATGTCTTTATTTAATGTCTTCTTCTTCATTAAAGCTTCAGCCAGTTGATTAGGAGCTTTAGAAAATCATGATTGGGTTCTTTTAGGTTGATCTTTCTTTAACTCCAAGATTTCTACAGAATCTGAGCTTGAATCATCACTAAATTCCTCAGACTCAGAATCATTAAACTTTATTTTTGAAAACTGGGGGATTCTATATGACATCCTTCGATCCTTCTTTTTGCTTGATATTTTCTTAACGGGTTTGATTACAATCAGAGGGTTGTCTTTATTAAGAGGAGTTCATCTCTGTAGGTCGTCACTAGAGTCGCTGTAAAGTTCCTCATCATGTTCATGGATAACATCATCTCCATCATGAACAGGGCTGATCTGTTCAACTTCTTGACAAGGACTGCTAGCAAGAAGTTGTAATTTATTGTCAAACTTCTCAATTGTCTGACTCCGCCTGAAGTCATGAGGAGAGAACACAGGGTTCTCCAGGTCATACTCATCATTGTCCTTCTTACGATTAATCCCTCTGTAGATTCATGCCCAGATGTTAGCCTCGATCTTGACAAGGTCGTTCAAGCGAAAATCATTCATGTTTATCTTCTCAAGGAATTGTTTTAGGAAATTCATGTAGAATGTACATCATTTTAAGTGATATTCATTCTTTTTGGACTCCTCTTGTTCTAAGAGCTCTATAGCTCTGGTGTTCATGAAAGGTAACATTGTCAAGATGTTCTCTGACTGGTTGAAGATTATCATTGATGCCCGAATGAGCTGGTACTTTAGAGTAGCCCAATTCTTATCACCCCAGAGTTCATCTAAATCTGATTGAGCAATTCCTGCAGGGAGTAGACCAATCATTTTGAAAAGATCTAGTGCTTCTGGACCAGTCTCTTTTAAACTATTGATGGAGATTTCTAGAGACATTCTTAGTGAGGCAAATGATTGTTGTTCTTGGTAATCTAGTGCATCCATTACATTAGTATCCAGAAGTTGTTTGAACAACTCCAGAAGAGTTTCATGTTCTAGCATTGGAGCAGCTAATGCTATAGCTTGAGGATGCCCTCCAAGCAACATTGTGAATGGATGATTGGATAATGTGGTAGTACTGATGTCAATTATCGGAAAATGCTGATGCACTGGATGATCATCAGGGATTTTATAGTGGAGAAGTTCCTGAATTTCTTGGTTACTTATTTTTCTCTGTACCTTTTCAAGCAGCAATTTAATTGAAGTTTGAGGACTTAGAGCATTTAAATGATAAGGAACTTCAATATTATGCTCGAGTTTGTTTATATATTTCCTTGAAGTCAAAAGCATCTTCATTTTAGGACATTCACTGAGGATATTATCAATCTGAGAAACAAACTGTACACAGTCATCTGCCAAGGGATCTTCACAGTTATCCAATACAAGTAGCATTTCTTTATTCCTAAGCAAATTAATCATGAACTGGATCATTTTCCTCTCATCTTCTTTGGTCGAATAACTTCCTTCAGACTCCGATCTCTCATTGATACTTGTCTGTCTCTGGAGTCCTTCAAGCTCTGCTCCTTGCTCACCAGCTGAGGAGATGATTGATAAGCTAAGTCTAGTCAAAAACATTTGGCTGGATTCTCATCCTCTGAGGCCAACATGAAGTATTCCATCCGCGAAAACTTTTCTGTCTCTCAAATGGTGACATATGTTCCTTGCAATTGCTGTTTTTCCGATTCCTGGTGGACCAAGAATATTGATCAGCCTGTTCTCATTCAGTAGCGTCAAGATTTCACAAATTTCATGCTGCCTTCCTCTAAACTTATGATCTAGAGAAGGAATAATGTCAAAGAAAGGTGGTGACTCTATCTTCTGCAGGCATCCTTGATTAAACTCAGAAATTGGGAAACATTTGTGAGTAAATTTCTTGCCGACTTTTACTTTTTCATTTAGCAGTAGGATGTATTTCGCAGCTTCTGTAGCATTAAAAAGAGTCCTAATGTCTTCTTTTGCTAGCTTAAAAGCTTCACAGACTGAGTATTTCTTCATGAATAATGACTCGTAGAACACTTTTGAAAATCTTAGAGAGGCTTTATCAGATATTTGTTCACTCTTTAGTATACAGATCACGTGGTTAGCTCCAGATGCCTGGAAAATTTTTCCAGCGAACTCAGAATGGCAGGAAGATACAAAGACAACCTCATAGTTGTGAGTGTTTGCTCTATTTGCCTTACTGATTTTGACTAACCTCTTGAGGTCATTCTCAAAGAGATAATCAGCCATTCCTTTTTCATCTTCTAACAGTAAGATATTTCCCTTGTCTTTGTAGAAGTTATAGGATTCCCCTAGAGATTGCCTGTTATTAGGGACTCCATGACCAGTGAAATGCAAAGCAAAAGGAGCATCAGCAATGATGCTCCTGAAGTTGCTAATCGTGGCTACATTGATTTTGTACTTAATTTCGTGCTGAACCTCAGAAAGAGCTTTCTCAATACCAGTGATCTCATTTCTGTAATCCAACTGCATTATATTTTCTAGCTTGTTCTTTACTTTCCTAACTAGAGGGGATGCGAACATAAAAGCAAGGTGGAAACTACACCGAGGCATATCTGAAGAGTATTGTTTGGTGATGGTAAGTCTCTGGATCTCAGAATCTCTTAGCCTAAGCTCTTGTTGCAGATTTTCAATCTCTTGTTGAGCATCATATAGCTTCACTCTACCCCTCTTCATGCTTGATACTTTTGAAAACTTCTGGAAGAGGGGAATCCCTTCACTAATAGAGTTCTTAAAGACAGGCTTCTCAGGAAGAGAGATCTTTTGAATAGTCTTCAAGTCTTTCGAACCAGTTGTATTCCGATGAGTGAGCTCTTTTGGTGTAGACTCATTAGAAACTGTTTGGAGTTCATTAAGATCATCCAAGAATTCATCATCGGAGGACAGTCCCAGCCCATTAATGATCTCTTCAAGATTATTATTACTCTTATTTCCGAGGCACCATCTTTTTAGGTGAAACTTTCCCAGGAGCCTTTTTTGGGCTTAACTTTTTCTTTTTCGGAGAGATTTTCTTTGGACTAGATTTCCCCTTTGATTCTTCCTTCTTGGCTCTAGGTTCTAATCAAATATTAACCAATCAAGATTTAAAAATGAGAATATGACAGGTTAAGGGATCTTACTCTTAGATTTCTTAAACTGACTTTTCTTACGAGGAGTATTCCTTCTCTCACTGCCAGATCAGCTTGCAACACTGGAAGATTTGCTCGTGTGGCTAATATTAGGAAGTTTTATATGTCTTTTATACCCAAATGCTTCGGTGAGAAATCCTTTAGCGACTAAATAAGTTAGCAAGAAGGAAAATAAGCCTTACTGATTTGACTTCCTGAGCTATAATGCATGATCTCTATGCTTTCATCTGATTCTTTGGTGATTTTTCATTCTATGAAATAGTTCATAAAATATGGATACCAAATACATCAAGGAACTCTTGAAGTGAATTGACTGTGAAAGTAGATCCTGGCTTTGAAATAGGGATTCATTCTTTTGGCGCACGACCATAGTTGTTCTTATGGAATACATAATTTGAAACGTTTATATTACATCCATCCCCCATCTTAGTGTTGATGTTTATATTAACATCTTTAGTGGAGGTTCCATTTATAGTGCTCTCTTCTTCCTCAGGCTCAGGAATTACCTTCTCAGATGGGAACATTTGGGAATCTAGAGATAAGATTAGAGGATAAATTAAGGTGCAAAGAATGGGACTTACTCTCATCTTCAATAACAGGCTCTAAAACTCATGAATTTTTAGACATATCCCTGTTTAAAAATGGTTTGGAATCTAAGGATTTCCTATCAGGAAAATTGTTAGATTTATTAATTTTGTCATCTTTATTTCTGCAAGTCATTGATTGTAGTAGATCAATTTCTTTCTCGACATCTGTTTCATATGCATTACGCTCGAACATGAGCTTAGAAATACGCTTTTCTGTCAGTGTGGAAGATAGATCACTATTCACACTAAGACGTTTTGTTTGAATAGAGGAATCTTTCTTTGGAGAAGTCAGTTTATCGGACAATCTTTCAATTGAAATTCTTGGGTTCCTTTCTTCTTTCCCCTCAGTAGCCCTTTTTGACACTTCTGGGAAACTGTTTTGACTTACTAAAAATTCTGTCAGAACAAAGATCTCCAACTTCGATCAAAAATGTGGCGGTAGAATTGGTGAACTTCTCCCAAATGAGTATTATCGGAACGAGATCCTTACCAGTATGAGACTTTTGAAGTGCCCTAAAATATAACCTAGATAAACTTACGGAGCTTTATCGAATGGGGATTTTGGGTTATAAATATCCTCCTTAGAAATAGAATTTTTCCTATGAAGTTTGTGGTAAAAATTTTGACCTTCGACCAAATCTGTATGCCTAAATCCGAGGAGTTCATGGTTAATTTCTGCAATATTCCCTGAAAGGGGTTCCTCGATATTGTCTCGTTCAAACATTTCAGCACTCTGAGATCTCATTTTAGACATTTTGTTCATTTTCGGATCTTCTATAACGTCACAATAAATTGAGGTTTCACTCAACAGTTTCATTTTCTCTTAAATTTTGAATACAGCTTTATTAAACAAATGAGGTATTCTCAGTCAAAAATTATGAATAATTACTAAATTTTCCAAAAGTTAGAGAAGAAAGATCGAATGAAGCATTGGTGACATCCAGAGAAATATTTTGAAACCCAACTAAGTAATTCACTGGAACCCTAAAATTTGATAATGACATTGACATGGAGAGAACACAGAGAAATTAGGAGTCACGATATAGCCCTAAATAAGGAGCTTGGTGGTATTTTTGAGTAGCCTCAGTAAGAAATTTGACATTTATAAAAACACATAAGACTATGACTTAGAGCTTTTAGCTCGTTATAGGTCCAAAAATTAATAATAGCCTTAGAATAAATTATTTTAATTTATTAGTAGTTCTATTCTATCAGGAAATGTTGCTAGGCCTACCTTGAGGGATTAATGAGGGTATTCTGAGAGTGTAAATTACTTATCAATAAATAAAGGTCATCCTATTAATTCCAGGGTCTTAATGTTCATTAACTAAAATCTAAATTTCCACTCCTCTCTAACTCCTTCAAATACTATTAGTACCCCAAACTGCTTACCATATACCTTCAGCTCCCTCTGCACCACTTGAGGAATTTCCAGACTGCCAAGGGCAGAGGAGAAAGATTTGTACTTGAGCATCTTTCCTAAATTATTATTTAATCGTCCATAACATGAACTATATAGGGGTTTTGGGGTTTTGGGGTTTTGGGGTTTTGGGG